AAAAAAAAATCATTTCAACAACTTAGCTTCCCTTAATGAACCCATATACAGAAAAAAAAGTTAAGTTTACATGAGGACGCTTAAAAATGGAGTCAAACTTTTTTTCTCCCAACAATGTTTATTCTGTTTTCTAGTCTCTGTTGATGAAACAGTCAGCAGAGTCTTTACCTTGCAAATTTGTGAGGCCCTCAAGGCTAGTAGGCATGTTGCTTTGGGTTCGCTGAGTGTTTCTTAAATGGAGAGTCTGGAGAGCAACCATAGCCGGTAGCTGTCTGCACAGAAAAAAATATTTACGCGTGAGCTTCAGTTCAAATCTGGAACTCTGCGTCTTAAAATGACTAGAATTCATGCTGAAACGTTCCAATATAAATTAGTTTCTTTCCTTGACAAAAACAAGTGTGAGAAGGCTCCACAGCCAAAATGTCGTTTTTCTTCTCTTTGCAGGATGGAATAAACCTTTACTTGTTCCCTTGCAGCCTACGCATGCTGACATTGCTCCCTACTTAAAAAAACATAATATATACATAGATCCTAACCAATCTTAAAGGAAAACTGCACAGCTTGAATTAGATTGAATAACTGATTTTGATTCGGCAAGCTTGAATGTTGGTCTTCACATCCTGACGAGAATTAAGCATGGAAGAGAAAATGGCTGTTTCCTCCTTACCTCAGCTGTGCGTGCATGAGAGGATTGTTGTTGAGTATTAAGGTCTGCAAGTGAACCAGGCGTCTCATTTGAGGGGGCAGGCTGTCCAGCTTATTGTCACTCACGTCCAGGTACAGCAAGTCGGTCAGGTTAATAAACAGCTGATTTGGGATGTTTTCAATGCTGAAAGACAATAATTCATTTAAGAACGGCACAAACACACGAAATAGATTCTGACAGCTGTTGGTTAAAATAACCTACAAAAGTTAATACTGAAAATAGTTCCATCTGATGGCAATCAATACAATGCCAGTGATAAAATGGGTTTTTGCCTACATGCAAAGAAATCCCTTGGTAAGTAAACATAAGGTTTTATTCTTTAGTTTTACTGTTCTTTACCCTTCTGCTCCTACTGTATTCAGTATCCCCCATCTACTGTCTCCTCTCATTGTGCATGCTGTATTTTTTTCATCGTTGCTCTTGTCGTTCTGTAAAGCGCTTTGAGAAGCCACCTTTTAAGGTGCTATATAAAATAAAGTTTATTATTATTTTATGGAAAATAGTGAGTAACTCGTCGTTAACTTCATTTCTTCGATAATGTAAAGGCACAGTTGGATTTGGACTCTCAAAAAATACTCAAATAACATCAAAACCGTTCACCATGAGAAAGTTAATTAACCAGTTCCCTTCCTGGGGACTTGATAGTGTGAAAAGAGCAGAACCCTTCTCAATCATAGAAGTGTAAGAAGTCTCACTCGAGGGGACCATTATTGCTTTTAAAAACAGATCGAGCAATCAGTGTTCCAGCCAAAGAGAAGGAACAGTGAGGGGCATGATGGGTAGGATGGGCAAAGGCAGTATGGACGTGAGCAATTTGAAATTAGAGATACAAAAAAGCCATGTCCGGCTACATAAAAAGGTATAGAGAAAACAAAGCAAGGATATTTAAAATTTAGCAGTTAGAAGGGATCCCCATAATGCAATTAGTCAAGTCGGTAAGCTGCAGAGATGAGGAATGTGATATGAAATGTCAGGAAGATGCCTTCTCCTCAGCATTGCAGGTCTTGTCATAAAACCCTGAACATTTTTTTTTTTAAACTTTCCTCCTTCACAAAAACAGTCAGCTTGCCTGTTGTCAGGCAGGGACACACCTGTTGTGACTGAGGTTAAGCACCAGCATGTTCTTGGAGTTCTCCAACTCCCGAGGAATTTCAGTCAGCTGGTTATAACTCAGATCCTAAAAGAGAAAAAAAAGACTAAATAATAATGACATTATTATACAACACATTTCGTTTGACAGCTGTTTCAATCTTGTTTGGGCACACTTTCTTTTCCAACGCAGAATGGACAAGACCAACTTCTCTGCCATCTCTGATCTAGGGAAGCAGTGTGGAGTAGTGGTTAGGGCTTAGGACTCCAGACCGGAGGGGCTCTACCCTTTCCATTCAGTTTGCTCCAGCATGGATATTTTCCAGATCAACATAGGAAATTTCCAAATTTGTTCTCAACTGACTTTGATCTGGTTTAATAAAGGATTTAAAAAAAAACTTTTTTAAAAAATACCTAAACATTTGGTATTGCTCATAAAAGTCTGTGGAAGCCTGGAGTTGAAGCTTATTTCAAGAAACAAGTGAATGAGAGGCTCAAATCAAGCACCTTCTAGAAACCAAGCACGCTACATGAACTAATGCCTCCGTTCATTGGAAACGGAATGGTTTCTGGGGGAAGGGAGATCTTCACTTTTAAAACATCTTCATCTTTATAGGCTGATCCTATCTTTCGAGTGGAAATACACAATCTGAAAGGCCACTGAGATATCGTCATTATAATGTTTTTATTCTTGTGAATTTCTCTGCTAGCAGGACAGTACAATAACAATGAGTTGAAAATGTGAAACTTTGCCTCCCTTCCGGCTCACAGACACTAATGAAAAGTCTACTGGACAAAAACCGAAAGGATTTTCTTTCAACCAGAAAGGAGAACCAAAAATAATTTCCCAAAGTTGGTTTTTAGTTCTGGCTGTCTGAAATGCTGACTATACAGAGAAACATTTACCCCTAGGTATTAAAGAAGAAGCTCTGATCAAAATAAAGGAGTTGGTGAATAATTACACTGATACAGATGGCAAAACAGATTGAGGGAAAGTTACTAAGGGTAAAATATAAAGAGTTATTCATTTGATTTATGATATATTGCTCCCCTTTAAGTTAACAGTTACGCCAATGACACAAAGACATCCAGGACACGAAGAAACAGGTTTACATACCAGCACTGAGAGATCATCTAGCTGAAAAATATCATCTGGAACTCCAGAGTTTTTCAGGTTGTTGGCTCGGGCCACAATAGCCTTCAATGGGGGAGAAAACACAACATGTGACTTCACAGCCTTTGCACACACAAACACCTGCTTAGAGGCATCGCGATAGCCTGTCAGAAAGCAGAATACACAACTGATTCAGATAGATGCCTGAACATTTTGCCTAACCAGAAATTAGACATATACAGACCTCAATCAAGTTCACTAAACAAAAGCTGTGCCTTTCCACATTACTCCCCCAAAACCCTGATAATCCTAATGGCACATGACTTATTTTACAAAGTTTAGAAAGCAAACAAAAACTGTCCCCATTTTTGCACAGAAGATAAATGTTCCAACTTCCATCCAACTGAAATTATTCTTCCTTCGGTTTATATTAAATCTATAATGTAGAAATGCCCGTTCTTATCTTGTTTTAAGAGGCAAATGTTATGAAAATACAATCACTCAGCCGCAGAAATAAGGCACCACATATCTATAGTGCTGCAAGGTTTTTTTAAAAGTGGAAAGTCCACTGATTAAGCCCTAGTAGAGACTCCTCCCCAATCCATATTTCATGAGGAATAACAACAACCAAGAACTAAACGTATTGGAAAAAAAATGTTTGTTTAGCATTAAGTCATAGCAAATTTGTCTGGACTCCAAATGAACAGAAAAGATGCTTCCGAACACCATTTATATATTTTTTTCTCTAAATGTAAGAAATTACGTCAAGAATGATTACGATGCTGGACATCTGAGGAGAACTGAACCTGGCAGCCTCCATTCCTCTCGATATTTCACGGTCGGCTCCATTTCTCTCTCGTTTTAAAGGATGCGCTGGAGACGACTGTCTTTGACTGAGCTGTAATCAGTCTAAAGAACCTCAAGGAGAAAGGTCTGGCGCAGCCTTGGAGCTAGCACAGTTCCAGACCAGGCTCTACTCACCCTGAGGCAAGGGAGACTCGACAGCTCTCCATGCAACGTCGTGAGGCTGTTGTGGCTCACCGACAAATGTTCCTGTGCCCAACGAGAAAAAACAAAGTCCATTCAGTGAACACGAGCATCCTTAAACTACAGGACAGGTGGCTTTTTTTTCAGTAGCACCCGAAACAAGGGAGATTACCAGTTTCTGGAGGGAGGCCAGCTCTTCGGGAAGGTAACAGAGCCCAGTCCTGTTCAGCTTCAGCCATCGGAGACTGGTCATAGACTTGACGTGTTCAGGAAAATAACCTCCCTGGAGACAGATCAGCAGAATCAATATTAAGCCCATTCAGCAGAAGAGAAAAATAAACAGCACCTAATTCTGTCAGGACCATCGATATCCCACTGACAACACCAAAGATAAAGCTGAGAACTGTCCACATCCAGTCCTAACTCACAGGTCTTTCTGTAGGACAATAATAGTTGGATATACATTTACAGTATATACTGTACTTGGAGTGGCTGTAAAGAAGACAGATGGAATAACCAACGTCAACGTAAAAGCACTTTATAGCCAGTCGTGTGCCTGGCACACCTGTGTGTAAGCGGAAGCTACACAAGGGTCTGTCTATATATTTGAATCTGAATGTTATTTCACAAACTGCGATTACTGAGCCGAATTAAACCTGCGGTTGTACAGTTAACAACGAAAAGTAAATGTATGTAACACAGAGTCTTGGAAGGTTAAACCTCGCCCTACAGAACACAGAATTTTATTCAGGCCTCACTGAAACGTCTTACGTCCAGTCCAACTCACACCCTCACCATGCCACCACTGTATCTCACACTTATGACTGAACTGAGCCGGGTTTATTCCTGTAAGCTTGAACGGATAAAACGCGTGTGACAAAGCCAAACACTGAAACAACTCAAAAACGCCAGATGAAAAAAGAAACTCCCAAACTCCAACACACAGGATCATAAAAACGGCAACAGAGCAGGATCAAAACCCGCTCTGCTGTCATCTAGGCGCACCAGCCCGCATCAGGATCTATTCTTGCTAAATTACGGAAGACCGAGAAGGGCCTAAGACCAGAGCTTCTGCCTGCAGTGCCCTCCGACACCTCGTAGACGCCCAGTGACACTATCGCAGTGTTTCACGACAGAACACCACCATCCCATAAAAAAAGAAGGAATCGAAAGCGGTGCGTGTAATCCGTTGGTTTTTGTTTTCGCTCAGTCCTTACCTTGAAGTCATTTCCACTGAGGTCTACCCCCCTTATGAAAGGGAGAACGCCAGTGGCAGCCATTGCAGTTACTAAGTGCGTCTGAACGCGTCTCTATTTCTGGGTGTGTTTTTGCCGTGAAGCTTCGCAACAGCTGGTACTGAATACCAACCCTCCCCTCTGAGAGAGAATGGTACCTCCCTCCGATCGAGACAGCTCCCTTAATTGTGATCTGGGAAGTGTTTATCGCTTAACCCTGTGCCGGAGTTGTGTGTGTGTGTCAATATCAAGCGCTTCTGTGCTCGTTAACTCTTTTCGCTGCACTATGGCACAAACAACGTTAGGGCTCCTGCTACTCGCACAGCGATATGGAAGTATAAACGACGTACTCCCAGTGCGTCATTCTAAAGTTTTTAATTTGGCAGGAATCACTCACATCTAACAATGTTAAAAGTGATTATTCGTAATTTTACAAGATCATTGTACATCTAGAACCACCAGTCATTCCAAACACCTCCTGATGAACAAATACACATTTCGCCCCGGATTTGTTTTTGCTGTCATTCTGCAAACGTGTAAGATGCATTTAAATCATAAACATAAAGATCTCAGAACACAGTGTTAGCAATAGCGAATGATGAAGACGGGGCTCTTTGACAAGACAGTAGGATGGGTTATAGAGTTACAGGACGCCGATTGCGAGATACATTTCCTTTCTCACTTCCGGCTTGCTTAAATCCCGCCCCTCCGGAATGTCCGTCTCGGTGCAAACCCCGGAGCCGTGAGCAGCGATTGGCGCACCCAGGTGTCAATCACGGTGACGACGGGTGGGTCCGGGTGACCTGGGCTCGGGGGCTCTTGATAGCATGGAAAAGAAGAGGCGGCGGAGAGAAGGTAAACTTTGCTTCTCGTCGGGAAGTTATTGTTTGAGAAATAAAATAGAGCACACGAGGTAAGTTAGTAGTACCGGCGTTTGGGTTGCCTTTCCAATTATGTCTCGTTGCACGTTGAGTATGTGTGTGTTTGCGGTACCCTTTGATTACAAAAAAAGTGGTACAAGAACAGAGATTGTTTTTATCCCTGTGACATGCCTGACGAGTGCGTCATAAAACAGTTATATAACCTTTGAGACGCTGGTTTGGCTTGCAGAATTAATGCAAAAACTGCCTTTAGGACAAACCTAAACCGAAAATGCTGCGCGTTGCAGTTTTTGTTCAGGAACAGCACACCAGGCAGACCACGTACGCCGTGAACAGCTGAATTGGTAATGTTTGTAATCGTGCTTGAAGACAAACAACTCCGATACTGATGGGAAGATACCATGCTTTTACGAAATTGAACTATCCCCGTGGTCAAACCGCGTACATGCTGCTTCACTAAAATGGGAGTAATGCACTTGCATTTGTATGTACTTCTTTCTTACTAAATTGCATGAAATGTCGATGCCGATATTTGCTTTGAAGATGAGATTAATGGTTAACCTGATACTCCAGGAGAATCAAATTGATGCGACTCATAACGAGCGAATTTCAAGTCTGTGTTTTGTGTGTCGAGACGAGTAAGGGGGTCAGCCTGTTCCTCGTGATGGTCACGTATCATGCAGCATAATTGTAGAAAAAAGTGACCTTTTCTGTACTCTTCTTTAACGATGTTTTCGTCAGACCCTATCCATTACGTTCAATACATTTCACTCCGTTCTTTATGACTCCCCCGGCTGTTTCCACCAGTCAAACAGATTTCTGTCTAGTATTTCTCTCGAAAAAGAACAATTTTGCTATCGTATCGAAGAGCACAGGATTGTTGAAATATTTTTCAGCATTGGGAAGTATTCATTTTCTCACCCGGGGATTATTTTAATAACCCTTGACTCGACATGGTGTTTAAAAATATCTGGGGAAACTAGGACACTGTTACTAGCAGGACAAATTGTGAGACAGGCAACTTTAAATAACTCCTGGCACAGGGTCAAAATTAAGACTGTACCGACTCACCTCAGAAGAGCACCCTTTAAATGGCTTACTTGTGTCCCTTATCTGAGAAGAATCTTCGTTGCCGTGCAGTTTTGCCCATTTTAAACACAAGAGTAAACCTAAACTGTCCATTAGAGTTTAATTTACTTTAGCACTTTATTTTTAAAAGGGGGAGTCAAAAAGATTTGGGGGTAAATGTGTCTAATATTAAAGTTGCAGTATTCTAATATCAATGCCCTAATTTTCATGTACTAGTATTTCAGTTTCATGTTTAGAAGCAAACAATCTCCATTGTCCCTAGCTGTTAATCAGTCATCTTTGCTTAACTTGGAGCTCTAGGAGAAGGTAAGGCTCTTCTTGAAGAGCTGACCAGAAGGCCTCATATGTGTTTGTTTACCGAATACTTTTGGGGTAGGAATAAAAACAAAACTTCCTGGTGCTGCAGGCTTTCTG